ATATATTTTTTTTCGTTTTAATAACATCGCTTAAGCGGATATCGGATCTAATATAAACAGCTACGTAACTATCGATTTTTTTCATTTGTTGCCTTATATTAAAGCCTAAATATGAACATAAACATAAAAATATAGCAAATTCATGCCTATCTGTTGTTAAATGTGTTCAAAAACTTTTAGATTTCTTTATAAGCGACTTTAAAGAATACTTACCATTCAAAAAATACAGAACCATGGCCACTTCTTGCCGGAATATGGTGGATTTTAACCAATAGAACTAACCAATAGAAAATTTAACAACCCATTGTCGCTACTCCGATTATATAGGTACTTTAAAGAAAGTGTGGCTATTATAAATTCCAAAAATTGTATAAATAGGAATCTAAGCGTAAAAATAAGTAAAGATTGGTTAAAAATATTGTAAAAATAAAAAATTTTTGTTTTTAAGAAAAATTTTTTTAAAGATATTTTAGTGAATTTTGTTTATTTTGCTGTTTTTGGCTATTCCAAATATTATATAAATTCCGACTGTTGTAAATGGTTAAAAATGCAAATTAGCAACCAAGCTCAATATTGTGTAATGAACCGAAAACAAATTTTGTTATAGTAAGTTAAGTGAAATTTATCTGATTCTGTTATGTGCCAAAGAAAAATTGAAAGAAGCCAGCCAAATATATCCATCAATCTTGGAAAGGAATCAGCCAATATATTTATCAACTTTAGTAAGAAGATGGAAGATGTATTGTATCTACTTAACAGTAAGAAACAGCACTAGACCAAACTTAGTACGGTTTTGTTCTATATCCGTATAAGCTTGTATATTTATGTGACCATAGGGTCGGTATCTCTTCGATACCTCGTCAGGATGACACCACTGTATCTTTCGGTCGATACAGAGACCACAAGTTCGCGCGAGCGGATAGGTATGAGGGTTGGACCCGGAATGGAGAACTGAGAGACAAACGGAAGAAACTGCACTCCAGAAGGTTTAAACATAAAAACCCGTTTATTTATATATATCTAAATTAAGTTTACATCAACGAATAAAATACGATACATAAACTACATGAGTTATTATTCAATTTTTAGTCCAGATTAACGATCGGGTGCGCGTTTCTTTTACGCGGAGAGAGAGAACGTACAATAGTGCGCGGGCAGGATAAATACCTTAGGTTGTAGGCAAAATCAGCACAAAAGGTCCAACAGTTCTTTTTAGGTGAACAGTTCTTTCCAGGTGAGTAGAAAGATTTCAGTTAAGTTCAGGTCTTCCAGTCTTGTCCAAGAGGAGGAGGTTCGGATTCTCGGCGGGAGGAAGACGATCGGAGCGCACACACAGATACCAATAATAACTTCCACCCCCTTACTCATCATGCCTGGCCCTTTTATATCA